AAGTCTGTCTGTTCGGGGTTGGCGGCTACACTAGGTTTGCCCCGAGTCTGAAATTTGGGGTATTGGGGTAGCTCGGACCGGGGAGTAACATAGGCCGGGTGGCGTTGGTCTAACACTTCCGGTTTCGGAGTTATGACACCCGAGCGAAGCCGGTCTGTTCGGGGTTGGCGGCTTCACTAGTCTGCCCCGAGTCTGAAATTTGGGGTATAGGGGTAGCTCGGACCGGGGAGTAACATAGGCCAGGTGGCGTTAGTCTACCACTTCCGGTTTCGGAGTTATGACCCCCGAGCGAAGTCTGTCTGTTCGGGGTTGGCGGCTACACTAGGTTTGCCCCGAGTCTGAAATTTGGGGTATTGGGGTAGCTCGGACCGGGGAGTAACATAGGCCGGGTGGCGTTGGTCTAACACTTCCGGTTTCGGAGTTATGACCCCCGAGCGAAGCCGGTCTGTTCGGGGTTGGCGGCTTCACTAGTCTGCCCCGAGTCTGAAATTTGGGGTAGCTCGGACCGGGGAGTAACATAGGCCAGGTGGCGTTAGTCTACCACGTCCGATTTCGGAGTTATGACTCCCGAGCGAAGCCGGGTATCCTGCTAGTATAGAAATAATTAATTAGATCTTTATTTACATGACCCTCGGATGGCTTGGATACAGCTTAGATTTAAACAGTCGTCCATTTAAAATTAAATCAATAAATGGCTGACCAAGCTAACGTTTACGTTAGTCACTTCCGGAGACTGCCGATGAAAGGCCTGCCAAGCGAGGGTACCGTAGTAATTGAGAATGTTCCTTGATAATGGAGAATATGTGGGTGGAGTTATCGTCTGTCAATCAAACGATTGGCAATTCTCGGAGACGGCGCTGAAACAGCTGATGCCTATTTCTAGTCTAAACTTACAACCGTGACAACTCCGTCCAGAATAAAGTAATTTGACTCACATTTTCAATATTTTATTTTTTTTATCATTTATTTTTGAATTATTACAGCAAGAATGGTCAACTCTTTATTAAACTCTTAACTAATGTATCTTTAACTTTGTAATTAATACACATGAATTCTTTAGCACGCCTATAATGTTTTGACCCCTATTTTTGATTACCGCGGTACTATAAACACCATTTAATTTTACTTGGCTTTCTATTCAATTTCACGTAAATGGACAGACCTGCTCTTAAAGTAGCTAAGTCTCTAACTCAATATCATCCAAAATCTTCAACATTGAAAACACGATTTATTTGTCAAATTAAATCAACATTGATGTTGTGATCTTACCGGAATAAGATGGGCTTTTGATATCCAATATTTAAGACAAAATAAACATATTATCATTGGTACACGAATCGTGTACCATAATGCGCTTCAGCCCCAGTTGTAAAAAGAGACTCGAGGGACGAGGCTAGACACATTGCACCAAATCGAATGGCGTATGTAGACTGGAATAACCAGACGCTATAAATTTGCACTCGATTGAGACTGCTGGCTTATTTTGCCGAACATAACTGATTTGAAATTGGAGTAAAAACGGAAACCATTGAATGTAAATCAGTTTATATACATTGATATTACAGTATTATATGCGTTGCGACCCACTTTTGTCAATTTCTAGGTCCCAAATGTTAGCGTTTTAACTCCTTTAAAGGTATTTTCCTTCAATTGTAATATGCCTACATTTGAAATGAAATGGGGTTTAACGTCCTACTGTATTCTGCTCCGACTGGGCTGAAGTTGACGGGTCTGTATTACTAGATAGGCCGGGCCTGTACTGCCAGTAGGCGGTTAAGGCTAGCCCCCGGATCAATACGTTTGTTGTTTGTGATGCCTGTATATTGTGTCGACTTGTCTGTATATTTGTCTTGTATATTTGTTTGTGTGTGATGCAGTCCCCCTGTGCTTACAATTAATTGTTAATGAATGACTAACTTGTTCATGGATTCAGCAAACAATATCAGATCTCAAATGTTGACAACGCAATGTTCGTAGAATATTTTTCTAGATGATAGAGACTATACTCGGTATCACGTAATCCGAGCCTTCGAATATAAAATAAATTGAAAGTATGTTATTTTCTGGCACATTCATGATTACATAGACTAGAGACAGATAAAACTCTTTCTATGTTGAGCAAAGAAATGGGTCGCTATCAGACAATAACCTAGTTACTAAAAATGGACTACTTTCAATTCATTTTATTTGTTGAAGGATTAGCAATAGAACTAAATAAAGTTCTGTGGATTAGCTCTTGTTACAAGCCCATTCCGAGCAGGTGATTTCACTGAAGTCATGGTCATCCAGCGAATCTTTTTTTGTATGCTAAGAGCACTGTACAATGCAGTGGACGCTTACGGCTGGCCCCCGGATCCATTCACTTAATTTGATATTTGTGTATTTGGCGCAATGTCTATTTTCTGTCTTGTCCGCAGGTTTATCTTGTAGATTTTTGTTTTACGTGTAGTGCTGTCCTCCTGCACTTACTATTATTGTATGGTAGTTTATTGTCTGCCAGCTTAACCGATGTTTGCCGAGTGTCGACTACCGGACCCATATTCTAATAATAGATGTGTAAAATTCCCGGTTTGTATAACGAGCTGTGACTAACAACGGTAGGTAGGAACTAAATTCTATTTTCGCCCATTCATTACACTGGTTTACAATTGTTTTAACATCATAGTCTTAATCTTTGAAATTGGTATGCGTTGCCGTTGTTTTGATTGACCGAACTGGCGAACTGAATGTGAATGTTAACGTTGTTTACTGTCTGATTCATCGTAAATTTTAAACGGATTTCTTCGATTATGAACAAACTACTTAACGTTGGTTATTATAAACTTACCTGTGTGTTTGTAATGAACTCCCGTTCGATAAAATCCATTGCACAACTAATTATCACAACGATGAAAACAAGTTCTCTCTTGAAAAATTGAAATATCACAAACTTTTCCCAGAGAAAAATACCAATATGGAAGATGGTTACGTCACTCTGCGGAAGATATCATTTCGTATTAGGGGTGACAGCATAGGAAATTCAAGTACAATTACGACAAGAATCCATGACCACTCGGACCAAAGATCACTCGGTTCAAGACCAGTCGGACCAAGTGATAGACCACTCAGCCCAAACAAATAGACTACTCGGACCATACAAAAAGACTATTCGGACCCAACAGAAAGACGACTCGGACCAATAATAAAATGTTGTTTTAATAAATTGATAATTGGGTTTGTTTTAATATAATTACTCGAACCAATAATAAAGTGTTATTTTAATAAATTGATAATTGTGTTTATTTTAATATGACTACTCGAACCAATAATAAAGTGTTATTTGAATAAATTGATAATTGTGTGTGTTTTAATATGACTACTCGAACTAATAATAACGTGTTGTTTGAATAAATTGATAATTGTATTCCAAATCGCAAAATATCGAGAACCACACTTGTAGTCACGTTTAAAAAGGGGCATATAAACGTCCGGTCTTCGTATTATTATGTGCTGTTTATATTAACGCATCAAGGGCGGATAACTTGAAAACGTGTCTCCACCCCCCCCCCCCATATATAGTAACCCAGGGGTTAGTGGGGTAGAACGGAATGAAACCACTGGGGATACCGCGAATGTGGAAAAAGTAAAATTAGGCTATCAGACAAGAACAGTATACCCGTATATGTAGAAACTGTCAAAAGTCTGGACATACCGAGTCTCATTGCAAGAGTAAAGAAAAATTAGATTGATATTTTTTTTTGGCACCATTATTAATTAATTTTAAAACTAATCGTTGATTTATTTTCCGTACACAAAATTGAACCAAACAACTCTAAATATAAGAATTCCTTATAAGAATTATTTGCTTCTTTGTATTGTGATCTAATAATAAATAAATAGCATATTGTCTAGCCTTATAATATAATTTAATTGGTCCGACTGGTCTTGTTTTGGTCCGACTGGTCTTAGTCCGAGCAGTCTTTGGTCCGAGTGGTCTGGACACCTACGACAATTGGCATTGAGTTTGAGCGTTCGCACACATAACTACCCGCATTCCTGTATTTAGTTGCCGTCTTTTACATTCTAGTAAAATCTCTGCAAATTTTATAGCTTTACTTTTTGAAATATTTTGTTCTAATTATTTGATTAGCGACTCAGATGGGATTATTTACTTTTGAACACGCATGCCGCACAAACACAACTATACATTCGTTTTACGGGCTTTATCACACTTCGGTCAAAAATGTCGAATCGAGAATTAATTTTCCGCTTCTTACGGGGTCATACGGGCTTAGTAGCATTATATACCCACCCGGGCACCCAATACGGCAATAGACACGCTGAGGGCTGCCGCAACACGCTTAAAGATGTTACTGAAGCGGTTATTATTCGATCGAAAGAATGCGTATAAAATTAAAAATACACTCAGAGAATTCGGAGGTAAGCTTCATGATCCTTGTTAAATTATTTATAACATAAAGAAGATAGGATATTTATAGTTTATTCATGACTTTATTTTTACGAGTATCCGTGCAATCAGTGATATTTTAATTGTGAAGAAAATTTGATAGACTGGCGATCAATGGTTTCCATATAAATCTCCTATGTAATTGCCTTCAATTGATATTTTTCGTCGCCCAAACCCATATACGATCAAAATGATCGCGCTGTCAAACTATCTTTCAATGTTAACCAACCCCCGCAACAGGTATATTGGATTCGACCAATACGTCACGAAGACATTGTTGACATCGACTCTGTCGAAATTACAAGTAAATTTTCAAATTTTTCAAGAGAGAAATTGTTCTCATCGTTGTGATAATTAGTTGTGCAATGGATTTTATCGAACGGGAGTTCATTACAAACACACAGGTAAGTTTATAATAACCAAAGTTAAGTAGTTTGTTCATAATCGAAGAAATCCGTTTAAAATTTACGATGAATCAGACAGTAATTATCCGCTGGCGGGAGTTACCCGGAGCCACGCTGACTCAGTGACTCACTAGAGTACGGAAGTCGCCGGTTCGCCCCCGGTCGGTGTTGGCCTAGAAAGTTCCCCGGGGATTGTCAGGTCCCCCTTGTCCGTGGCCCAGGACAGCATTTGACAATAGATAACAAAACAAACCTCATCTCTCAACCTAGTTACTATACTTGTAACGTTAAACTGTGTGGCTGGAGTAAGGCGGAAGACATCAGTACAGTACTCAGTAGTGGTACCATTTTTACTCTCAACCCTCCGTACACATCAGTAAATATCTCAACGTTTTTAGCTACGTTCTCGTAGGGCAGCGGCTAAATACCACGCTTCAAAATACCACGCTAGCCTTACTGCTTCTATAGAAACAAAACGTGGTACGCTGCTTCGGTACCACTTACGATTTAATTATAGGGATTTTACCTTATTTATAGCTAATTTTTCAAAATATGTTGATCATTTAATCGATTTTGATGTTTTTATAGGCTATATTTATACTTTATCTTAAAATAAATTATAATACAGATAGCCGATCGGTCGGTTGATGCATATACGGTTAATAATATGGTGTAAGCGTTATTATACCCAATTTAAAAAAAGACCCTACCTGTTACATTGGAATATTAGATAGGCGTAGATATGAAACAAAGCGTGGCAGGTAAAAATTAACGTGGTATAATAAAATATGGGGACGATAAGAAAGAACCATAAGTTGATATTTTAAAAAAAAATATGATGTAATAGTATCCAGTGCTGCGATAGCCGTACCACGCTTACTTGTGCTATAGATACAAACGGAACGTGGTACCGATCTTTTTTATTTATAGGCACTTTACATTATTTGTAGCAAAATTTGCAAATTGTGTTGATTATTTATCCCATTTTGATGTTTTTATAAGCCATATTTACACTTTATGTTAAAATTAATTATAATACAGATAACCGATCGGTTGGTTAATGATCATAGGTTAATAATACTGTGTAAAGGTTATTATACTATACCCTGCTTAAAAAGACCTTACGTGGTATATTGGAAATGAAATGAAATGGGGTCCTACTGTTCTGCTCCGACGACTTGGCTAATGATGACTGTCATACGTCATGCAGTGTTCTGTGAGGGAAATGTTGCCCAGGCAGCGGCACTATGGCCTACTCTTATATCGAATTCCAACTGCTAAGGGATCTTTTACGTGCACTCCAATGTATACACGGGACCTCGGTTTTCGTCCCATCCGAAGGACTAGACAGCTGTCCTTATCAGGCCCTCCCTCCCACACCACTGACACGGGAAACCACGTCGGAAAATCCCGATGAACTTTCTCGGTCAATGCAGGGATCGAACTAGCTACGAGAACGTAGCTAAAAACGTTGAGATATGCTGATGTGCTTGTTTTTATTTTTTGAAACACAGAGGGTTGAGAGATGAGGTTTGTTATCTAGGATCGAACAAGCAACCTCCAAGCTAGCGAGCCAGCGTCTCAACCACTTAGATATGAAACAAAACGTGGTATATAAAAACATGGTGCGAGGATGATACGAAATTGTAATGAGTTGATAAGTAAATAAAACGTGGTATAATAAAATCCGAGGCTGAGATAACCGTATCACGCTCGCGTTATTGCTTCTATACAAACGAAACGTGGTACGCGACTTTGGTTTATTTTGAAAATTATGTTGATTATTTAATCCATTTTGATGTTTTTATAGGCCATATACTGCAGCCCATTTTAAAAGACCCCACGTAGTATATTGGGTAAATATGAAACGAAACGTGGCAGGTAAAAACAGGGGTATAATAAAATATGTTAATGATACGAGAGTACCATGAGTTGAAAGTTAAAAAAATAGTGGTATAATAATAGAATCCGAGATTGCGATAACCCTACCACGCCTGCCTTACTGCTTCTATACAACTGAAACGTGGTATGCTCGCCTTACTGCTCCAATACAAATGAAACGTGGTACGCGGCTTTAGTACCACACGTTTTTTTAGTTTTATGGATTTTACATTATTTGAAGAAGATTTTGCAAATTGTGTTGATTATTTAATCCATTTTGATGTTTTATAGGCCAAATTTACACTTTATGTTTAAATACATTACAATACAGATAGCCGATTGGTCGGTTAATAATCATACGGTTAATAATACTTGTACTGTGTAAAAGTTATTGTACTATACCCTACTTTAAAAGACCTTAAATGGTATATTGGGCTATTGGCTAGATATGAAACAAAGTGTGGCAGGTAAAAACTTGGTATCAAATTCTATATATTATGTTTTTTGTACCGATGTCGCGTACCACGTTCCCTTTATATAGGACCAGTAAGTCGAGCGTGGTACGATTATCTCACCCTCGGATTCTATTGTACCACCTTTTTTCAACTATTAACTCATGGTACTCTCGTATTATCCACATATTTTATCATACCCCCTTTTCACCTGTCACGTTTTGTTTCATATCTACCCAATATAAATGTACCACGTAGGACCTTTTAAAATGTGGTACAGTGTGCGGCCTGTAAAGACTGAAAGACATCAAAATGGATTAAATAATCAACATAATTTGCAAAATAAGCCAAAGTCGCGTACCACGTTTCGTTCGCATAGAAGTAGTAAGGCGGGCGTGGTATCGTTATCTCAGCCTCGGATACTATTGTAGCCTACCACGTTAATATATAGACTTCGATACTGATCGAGATAACCATACCACGCCCGACTTACTGCTTCCATACAACTGAAACGTGGTATACTCGCGGTTATCTCTTATTCCACGTTGTACTTTCGCATCATCCTCATATTTTTTTATACCACGTTTTTACCTGTTACGTTACCAAAGCCGCGTACCACGTTTCCGTTGTATACAAGCAGTAAGGTGAGCGTGGTATGGTTATCTCAGCCCCGGATTGTATTATACCACTTTTTTAAACCACCATCTCATAGTACTTTACAGGCCACACACTGTACCCATTTAAAAAGACCCTACGTGGTATATTGGGTAGATATGAAACAAAACGTGGCAGGTAAAAACGTGGCATGTAAAAACGTGGAATAAAAATATATGGATAATACGAGAGTACCATGAGTAAATAGTTGAAAAAAGGTGGTACAATAGAATCCGGGGGTGAGATAATCGTACCATGCTCGCCTTACTGGTTCTATATAAACGGAACGTGGTACGCGACATTGGTACAAAAACCATAATATAGAATTCGATATTGATCGAGATAACCGTACCACACCCGCCTTACTGCTTCTATACAACTGAAACGTACCACATTCCGTTTGTATAGAACCAGTAAGGCGAGCGTCCTACGATTATCTCAGCCCCTGATTGTATTATAAAACTTTTTTTTTAATTATCAACTCATGGTAGATTGGGTAGATATGAAACAAAACGTGGCAGGTAAAAACGGGGTATAAAAATATGTGGATGATACGAGAGTACCATGAGTTGATAGTTTTAAAAAAAAGTGGTATAATACAATCCGGGGCTGAGATAACCCTACCATGCTCGCCTTACTGTTTGTATACAATGGAAACGTGGTACGTGGCTTTGGTAACGTAACAGGTAAAAACGTGGTATAAAAAACCCGTAAAACGTTTTGATCCTATTATGTATGGCGGGGTATCGGGTTCAAAATGCAATCTAGAGTAAAAAGCAGAAAGTCAACAGTAAAAAGTAGAAAATTCTTATCTAAAAGGGTATTTTTATGGTGAAAACCTATAAATTTATGTACTAAGTCTGTAGAAACATCAAGCTTTTCAACTTTTAATCGTCATAATTCTACTTTCATGGACAAAATTTCTCCTTTCTACATGTACTAGAAAATCCTGTTAGAAAATCTGAAGTGGAATGTCGAGAGTCAAAAGTTGACAGTAGAAAGCGGAAAGTCGAAAATCAAAAGTTGATAGTAGAAAGGAGAAATTTTGTCCATGAAAGTAGAATTATGACGATTAAAAGTTGAAAAGCTTGATGTTTCTACAGACTAAGTACATAAATTTATAGGTTTTCGCCATAAAAATACCCTTTTAGATAAGAATTTTCCCGTTTACTTTAGATTTTCAACTTTTTACTGTTGACTTTCTGCTTTTTACTCTAGATTGCATTTTGAACCCAATACCCTGCCATAATTATGGCCATGACACTTTGACATGAATTTCGACTGAAAGGGGACTTAATATTCGGTAGGAAAATGGTTGTTGAATGCCGCCTTTTTCCTAATGGCACTCTTCCGAAGTAGCTTAACCTTTCAACCCGCGAGTTTGTTGTGTGTTTGTGAAATAGCTTTATTTAACGTCCGATTGTTGTTATCCTAATATTGTTTTTTAACGTCCGATTGTTGTAATCCTAATATTGTTTTATACCACGTTTACCCCTTTTTAAATGGGGTACAGTGCGTGGCCTATAAAAACATCAAAATGCGTTAAATAATCACCATAGTCTGCAAAATAAGCCAAAGTCGCGTACCACGTTTGTAAAGAAGCAGTACATTTGTAGGGCGAGCGTGGTACTCTTATCTCAGCTTCGGATTCTATTGTACCACTTTTTTTTACTTATCCACTCATTGCACTTTCGTATCATCCTCATATTTTATTATACCACGTTTTTATCTGCCACGTTTTGTTTCATATCCAGCCAATAGCCCAATATACCACTTAGGGTCTGTTTAAGTAGGGTATAGTACAATAACCTTTACACAGTACAAGTATTATTAACCGTATGATTATTAACCGACCAATCGGCTATCTGTATTGTAATTTATTTTAACATAAAGTGTAAATTTGGCCTATAAAAACATCAAAATGGATTAAATAATCAACACAATTTGCAAAATCTTCCTCAAATAATGTAAAATCTCTATAATTAAAAGCATGTGGTACCAAAGCCACGTAACACGTTTCATTTGTATTGGAGCAGTAAGGCGAGTATACCACGTTTCAGTTTATAGAAACAGTAAGGCGGGCGTGGTACGGTTATCTGGATCAGTATTGAATTTTAGTATATCACGTATTTTGTACCGAAGTCGCTTACCACGTTCAGTTTGTATAGAACCAGTAAGGCGAGCGTGGTACGATTATCTCAGTCTCGTATTTTTTTATACCACGTTTTTTTGTACCGAAGTCACGTACCACGTTCCGTTTGTATAAAACCATATAGTAAGGCGAGCGTGGTATCTCAGCTCTGAATTCTATTATACCAATAAGGCGAGCATACCATGTGTCCGTTGCATAGAAGTAAGGCGGGCGTGGTAGGTTATCCCAATCTCGGAT